ATACACTAGGTATAATATAAAGAGAAACTGACAACAGTTAAAAAGAAACAACTGTTCTTAAAATTGCAATTTAATGGGGATGTGGCTAGTGAAGTCTTACATCTAAGATTATCGAGAGCAATAAAACGGACTTATACTGCCGCCACCACCCTTTGTTTGTCATTTTCCAGCTACCAACCAATTACGATTTCTCAAGAGAAAGACAAGCTCCGCCTAGTGGTGTCACTTCTATGTGTATCTACAAATTTATCTGCTCCTGTGGAGAAAGCTGGCTATATAGGGCGAACAACTAAACAGCTCAACAAACGTATTACTGAGCATCTTCCTTCATGGTTCGGAAAATGTCAAATAAAATCTATAAGAAGTTCTATTTTGACTCATTTGATTGATGATGGTGGTCACCAAGTGGACAGAAGAAGTGCCTTCAATGGTTATCTATCGCATTCCATCGAGCCTTTCGAACGGAATTCGAACCCGCCTGTTAAACACATAGCCGAAGCTATGGGAATTAATTCGAGAGAACAATCCTAGTGTCTTTGCATACAACGAAAGAAGTTTGTTCTACCTCTGTCCCTTGCTTAGCCTAGGTGAATTCTAATCAAAACCCTCCCACGCACCCTTTCTTATTTTCCATTCCCTTCGTACTTTTATGATATTTATTTAAACTCTGATTATCTGTCCACTTCACCTACCTTTAGTATTACGTAACTTTTAAGATTTGACCTAATTTATTTATTGAATTGTCTACATATACACACATATTACTTACTACCTTCGTTATTCTTATCGCCACCTGCATAAACCTTATTATCATTATAATCATCGTTATTACTGACGTTCAAAACATTTACCACATTATTATTATTATTTGATCCACAAACTCAGCGTCATTGGTTAAATTTTGTTTTATATATAAATCTATGTAAATTAGAGTAAAGCCTGAAGAAGAGGATCTAATTGAAAACAACAATATTATTCGCTTATTATGTCTTGTTCTAATGTTACATTTCATATCAATAAGAATTAACCAAAGGATTTGTGTGTAGTACTCACAAATTACATAAGTTGATTTTAAATATCACACACTGAGTGATACAGTGAGTGTATTAACCAAGTGGATGACATTTCATAATCCTTTCATAATTTTAGTCACACGGTTTCACAATTTGTCTGACACGTATATTTCTCTCTCTCTCTCTTTTCTGTCTATTCAACTTTCTTTTGTAGTTTGCCACCGGCGCTGCGTCATTCCGATTGACTGCATGTGTGCGCTGCTGGATTGATTAACCTCACACACACACACACTCTTCTCTATCCACCTAACTACATTACTCTTTTACCATTTTCACTCTGTCCCATCTAACCTATTGTGTGATTACATGCAAGTGAATGCAGTGAAATGACCGAGCTTTTCTCTAGGTTATTTAACTTGCCTGGGGGTCAATCATTCTAGGTTCCAATATTCTAATTGACCTCGATGTACTAGTTTGACCTATGTGCAATTGACCTCACAGTCATCATTATATTGTATTTGGTAAATTATTAAATTATTTTCCTTAATTGGATCTATCGGGTCCTTGAGTCGACAAAGTTTATCTCTGAGAGAGCTGGATGGTTTAAATGCCACCCTGACTAATTCTAGCCTCATCCAGAATCCCTACGTAAGGCCTCTGACGTTCCTTCTTTATACGGCAGTACTACAGAGGCTTTGAATTCTACATTTTATTTTCGTCATTTTTATTGCTCATCGTAGTTTTTCTATGGTTCTTCATTCTGATAGGTGGTTATGTCTGTCTGTCTGGATTCAACATAGAACTTGGCACCCAAGTGCAGCAGTTCAAGTTACCACGTTCCAAATACCACACAAAGGTAGATCAGTGAAGAGAATCAATAGAGTTTTGACAAGTATAAGAGTGAAACAGAATGAGTAATGGTAGAAAGGAATATGAAAGATTACAGAGACTGATACATCTGCGTAAGCCATTGACAACGATTTTGAGCCATGTCACCTATTGTCTGTCTCCAGCCATTGACTCTTAGAGTCCCGAGGGCGGGCGCCAACCCGGATGTCTGCATCTCCCTCCCTACCTGACTCAGTTTGACTGTCAGGGATTTCATGGATTGATTGATGCCATGTTTTTGTTTGGCCACCACTTACTCTTTTCCAACCTGCACCTATATCTATCAGCTAGTGCGTCGGTGGCACAGTGGTTAGGACTCTCGCCGACCATGCACATGGTCCGGGGTTCGATCCCCTGCCGGCGCACACCCGATATCTATGGTTGGCCTGAATTTGGGCTACCGATATCCATGCTGAAAATTCCACACTTGTACTGAAAATACGGTGTGGAATCAAGCTGTAAATCAAAATATCAAAAAAAAAATAAATATAGTAATGCCCGTCCGTCGGGGGAGACGATGGTTAGGGATGCGCAGCACGTGACCTAGCCATCTCAATCTATGTAACTTTATAGCCTCTTCGAGTGATTTTCCCTTTTTGCCCAACACTCTACGCCTAACGTCAACATTACTTACCTTATTATACCACCTAACGCGAGAAAGAGATCGTAGACATCTGTGGTCAAAAACAGACAATCTCTTCATGTCTTCAACTCGTATTGGCCATGTTTCAGAGTCATAGAGAAGGACGGAGCAAACTGTTGAGCAGTACACACGCCCTTTGGTTGACAGCCAGCCAGATATCACGTCTACTTAGCCAGGGACGGCGTAAACTGGCATATGCGATGGTAGAGATGATAGAGAGGAGTAGAAACACCTCAACACATGTTATGTCCTACTTTGGACTCGTTATTCGCTGCATGTACGTACATCGTCATCCCAAGTAAGTAAGTGATGCTATTCCCACTGAGATTTTCAACTCAGTATATATCACTTCAAACGGCTAAGTGTTGTTAATCACTGAGGCAACTGTGCGTCGTCAGTGGTTCAATAGTAGAGTACTCGCAAACCAAACAGGTTCGATTCTCCCGACTGACGCACTCCCCCAAACAACCCTCTTAGCTGACAGCAAGCCTAATAAAGACGGAAGGTATTCAGGTGTGAGAGTAGCCACTGAAACTTCAAAGATAAAGTTTGAAGCCCCACGTTTCATTCTCGGAATGTATAAGAATAAGAAAGAAATGAGTATTGTGTATGTGCTTCCAACTGACTGACTGAGGGGAAAAAGAGTAGTAACATGGAAGATCAAAAAGGGTGAATGCATCTGCACCAATGAGAACGATATCGAGCCATATCACCAATTGTCTTCCTTCAAGCCATTGATTCCCAGGATCTCGAGGACCCCAACCAGTCAGGATAGCTTACACCCTCCTAGGTGATTGTTTCTCAAAGCAACAATCAAAGACTTGATAAATTGATACCCGGTTTTGTTATGTCTGCCTGTAACTTTTTTCCGACCCAATTCTATGTCAGCCGGGTGTACTTGACACGTGTCCTAGCTTCACAACTCTCGCCTTAGTAACTAGTGCACTCCAAATTGTGGAGGCAATCGGTCACAGGAAGCCCTACCTGACCTATGTTTCGTGTTAGGTTGGCAGTCACCAGTCAGTCAGCAAGGCGGATCTGCACCGTGATGTCAAGCCACCTAGAATGGTGACCCACATCGCGCAAACTTGACTGATGATAGAATTAGGCCTACACCAAATAAAGGACTAGACATATTACACCAGTTAATAACTAGTGTCCAATCAAAATATCTGATATAGTCCCCTACAGGAGGTCAATAACTAAGTCGTGATAACGTCTCTGACTACAGCGTATTCGAATCTCAGAAGGGAAATGAGTTGCTTCTTCAAGGTTGCAGATACACCTTGCTGACTGACTGGTGAGTGCCAACTAGCACGAAACCTAGATAAAAAGCAAGGCTTCCTGAGGCTGATTGCCTCCAACCACCTAACCTAAATATATTGCTCAACATACACATTCAACTACTCTATTAATGAAAAGTAGGAATGCTTTAGTAGAAGAGTAAAAGCCTGCAGAGGAACTTAATTTCACAAATATCGTGGGGGTTTTTGTTTTCTTGTCAGATTCTAACAGTTTATCAAGTTGTTTTTTTATTATAAACAACACAGCTAACCTGAACTTCAAAGAAGACCCCTCTAGATAGTCAGATAAATTGTTTTATTCCTTTACCTACCCAATGACCCGACCGAAAGCTTCTACCTTGACGTGGTGGTCGGGCTTGAACACCGCAATGACCCAACAAACTATACTGGCTGAGACTTATGTCGCTTGAGGTCCTACCATGCCAGAAAGGTTGTTTGGATAGCGGTTAGACAAAAAGCAGTTACCCAACCCAATGCTATGTCTCAGAGTAAATCAAAAAATATCATGCCGGATCGGTCGGGGCCCGGATTAACAACGACCGCACTTCCTGCTGCCATGTCACAGGGCAGAAGTGATAAATACGCTACTGAGACACACCAAATAAAAAAGAACAAACAAAAACAGGCCGTGTATGACCGGCCTCAAGCAGTTGTCCCCTGGACTCTGCGGTCACGCAACCAACTTCCACGGTGTGGGCAGCCGGGAAGTAACAATCGCCCTCACAATCCGAAATGCACACGAAACCTCTCTAATCCTCACTCATCTTTGTCTTCATCTTCATCTCTATTATCTTGCCTTCCTTCCACTGATGCAACTCCTCTACTTGATGGCTCTTCACTTCATCTTTACTCTGTGTCCACTACTCAAAGGAGCATAAGACTCCAAGCTAGAGAGCTTTGAAGTTTCGATGGGGGTCTCATGTCCAACCTTCCCTCTTAATCGGTTTTATTACCACCTTAGGGAGGTTTACGGGTGCGTCGGCCGAGGATCGAACCCCAGGCCATACATGAGACATGGTTGGCGAGCATTCTACCGCTCTGTACCACCACCACGACGTACTTGAAGTCCTCTAGTGATAGGAAACCATCACAGTAGATTGAAAATAGAGAATAATGCTAATACTAATAATTAACAATATGATTACTACTCACCATCCATATAATAATAACTACATCCTTGAGCATCTTGACCAGCTTTAATGAGTACATTGACATCTTCAGGATCATCTGTACAGCCAATATCTCCTCCTGCTCCTCCACCAACACCAGAATTGTATAGATCTTGTGATGAATCTACTACCATACGATCAAATCCTGTTGATCCAGGACCATTATTACTAGTCCCAATTCCACCACCACCACCAACACGTCCACTATTTGTCAGTGAACTATTAAAACATGTTGTAAAATTGAAATCAGGTTGTTCATCATATACAGATTCAATTAAATTATCCAGTAGGGCAGCTCTTGCCGCTGATCCCAATTGATGGACTAATTTTCCATTACGATGACGTTGGATATTTATTCGATACGAAGTACGCTTATCAATAGCGAAACGATCAAGTGCTTGATCTAGTGTAGCCATACAAATATCTGGATCATCATGATTTAAAAATCGAAGTATACGAGCAGCAAGATCACAAAAGGCTACAGGATCAGGATCTTTTAGAACTTTTTGATAAAGATCCTAAAGTTTATAAACACAGGGAAAAAACAAAACAGGAAATGAATTAAAAACTTTAATTAAATTAATGTGTATTCACAAACAAGCTGATATTATCGAGGGTGGGTAGAGACTCCAGTCTTTCTCGAGAAACCCTCTTATATGGTCATGTGTACATAGACACTGACAGGTGAATCCTTCTGACTGCCTCTAGGCTGTGTCTCCACACGAGAATGAAAGAGCGAATGCAAACATCTGGTGCTTATAACCGAACTGTTGGACTTGCAGGTGTACTCAGGAGAGCTGAAAAACCCTGATTTCAAACCTTCGGTGGTGTATATGGGCTCCTACAATTCGTTAATTCTCGCATTCTGCCTATTATTCTCTATTGTTCCCCCTTAGTTTTTCCCACGCTACTGAAGAAAGACTATAACATATTACGCAGGATGTTAAAGGTTGTCAGCAGGGTAAGCAACGTGCCACTTAACCAGCTTGCTAATACTCTGGTCGACAGGCACATGGACTCATGTGAAAAATGGGCCAAATCCATTTTATCTAACTCACACCACCCTCTCCACTCACAACTCTCCCCCTGCATCTCATCAGGTAAAACCAGAAGCCAATATAGAAAACTATATCCTCGCACCAGCAAGTACAAAAACTCAACCATACCCTACTTAGCTCGTGTTCTGTGTGATAAAGAAAGCATTAGGCGTGACACCTATAATTCTTTAAACAGTCAGTAGTACGACTGGATCTCGTCTTTCCAACCCACATCATCAATATGTACAACATTTTCTTTCTTTCTTTTCCTTTTCTCTCTCTTCTTTTTCCGTTATGTGCTGCTTTGTCTCTTTCTCTCGCTTACGCCTGTTAATATAAGACAGCTCCCACTTTTCTAACACCTTCAAACACTGTTCAACTTTGGCTTTGCTACCGACATGTCAATATGTTGTTGTCATAATGAACTGAGATTTCCTTAATCTATGTAGAATTTTATTTATTGATAATGTACAAACTGGATGCAATACTGTAGTAAAAATGCTGAGAATTCCATTCTCTATCACAAGTACTGTTTTGGAATAAAGCAAATTATTATTATTATTAAAAAGAAAGATCAAATGGTATATGAACTCGTTCCGATCACTGGAAACCATAGGAACGCAACCTCCGACGCTATTCTACTGCCCTGTAGATCAGACTTTGAGTCAAAGGTTAGGGGTTGGTCCCTGTAAGACTAACACCATCATCTTCGGTCTGTGAGTTCGGGTAGTATCTCAGCCTTTTGCATAAACTATGGGATTTAAATGTGTGCAGTGTACACTCATCATGACCCGATTAAACATCTAGCTCAGGTACGTGCATTGGATTGATCAATCCATGTAGACTTCCAGTGTTGGTGCACCACCATTCACGCGCAGGGAGGTATAGACAACAGACTGTCTCACTGAGGTGTTGTCAAGACTCTGGAGACTGTTAGTGACATGGCGCTCACTGAAACGAATTACGGGGGGGGGCGGCGGATGTGTGTGTGTGGCTTTCTTTTACTGTACACCACCCCTCTCCAAAAGAAGAAATGTCTCGGAAATATACTACTGAATACCACTACTACTGTCGTCCCCTGACCAATTAGTTGACAAAAAAAACTGAAAAGAGGAACCTAAAGATGGAGAAGAAAATCTTTCCTTCACTGCCACTATTGAAACCAATCAGCTGTCGAACAATGTACAAGAGCACGCCTAGACAGATGGATAGATGGACGGACAGACAGAAGACAGGCGATCCACACATACACACACACACACACGACCACCTAGATTTACGAATGCCTTTGTATACTTCATATATAATTAAATTATTATTACGATTATTGTTTCCTTTAGTTCCTAGAGGAACATAGGGCTTCAGCTGTGCGTCTCCATTGCGCGTTCGGTTCTCTGCTAGAGTCTTCACCTGGCTCCAAGTCTGCCCTCTTCACATGACCTCCTCCAAGTCAACCTTGCAATGACGACCAACTCGCCGCTTCCCTTTCGGGTTCCACTCGAGCAATGGCTTGTCTAGTGATGTCACTCACTTGGTGGTTTCCTTAGAGTATGGCCAATCCATCTCCATTTCTTCCTGCCTATTTGTTTCACAATCGGTTCCTGGTGTTCTTCGCTCATTGCCAGAGATCTCTTTTGCTGATCTTTCCTGGCCAGCCATCTGAGTAGTATTGAGCGAAGACAACTAGCTGTTTATGAAGGTCTGCAGTCTGTTTGAGATGCTCTTTATGACACGTAGTGCAAGTCTCTGATCCGTATAGTGAGTAGCACTGACTTCCCATTGGAGTTGAAAATCTCGATCCTATTTTCATTTTCATGCTGAGGAGTGCTGTTTATCTCCACAAAAACATAAGAGTAATGACAGCTTGCCTTCCTTTCCTGATCCTCACTTTGATATCCTCATCAGTTTCGTGGGCCTGTAGTTAAAACGATGCTTCCCAGGTAGGTAAAAGAGGTTGTTTCTTTCAGGTTCCTTCCATCTATGCTGATTGTTTTCTGTTGTTGGTGTTGCCCAGGAATCTTCATCACCTCTGCTTGGATTGAGCAATATTCACATTTAAATAATAATAATAATAATGGTGGAGGTCAACATAACTCAGCATCAAAAGTGAGATCCGGATTTTCAACTCCAGTGTGAACTCAGTGTCAGAGACTTGGCGCGTCATAAAGAGCATCTCAAACAAACTACAGACCTTCATTAACAGCTGTCTTCGCTCAATACCACTCAAGATCAGATGGCCGGTCAGAAAAGATCAGCAACAAAGATCTCTGAGAGCGAACCAACCAGGAACCAATTGTAAATCAAACAGGCAGGAAGAAATGGAGGTGGATTGGCTAGCCATAACTCTGAGGAAACCATCAAGTGACATCACTAACAAGCCATTGCTCGAGTGAAACCCGACTGAATGGGAAGCGGTGAGTTGGTCGTCAGTGCGAGGGTGGGTGACTTGGAGGAGGAGGTCATGTGAAGAGGAGATGAAAGCATGTGAGCAGACATGGAGCCAGGTGAAAACTCTAGCAGAGAACCGAATGCAATGGAGACGCACGGCTGAAGCCCTTGGTTCCTCTATGAATTAAAGGATACAGTAATAATAATAATAATTGCTCAATCCACCTTGGTCATCATCAGATCGTCGCCACGGCACACTGTGTGTGTGTGTGCTATTTCATGGTTCTGGGTGTTATTATTATTATTACTACCACACATAGCAATATTATGAATACAAATCCACTACTACCACTAATGAGAAGAATATTGATAATACTGCCAAAAATTAATGTGAAGGACACGATAAGTATTTTTTGTGCCTGTTGACTCAACAGAGAGACACAGATGAGAGAAATTAAATCAAATTCACCTTTTTTTAACACTACCCATTTCTACTTAGTAACGTGAAAACACTATTGCTCTTCTTCTTGTTGCTGATGTTATCGTCATTATTCTTATGGTTTCACTTCGTTTCTTTTTTTTCAAAAAAAGAGGTGTCAATATGTGTGGCTAAGTGAGTGTGTACACGCACGGACGCACACACACACACACAAACACGTGAACAAACATGCTAATTAGATGACAGGCAGAGACACACACACAGAGTGAGTGAGTGAGTGAGTAAAGTTAAATGATGAGAAAGCCTCTCTTAACACAAGACACTTGATATAAAACAAAAATTATTGGCGTTGTATTCAAATGATTCGCTGTGTACAAACATACACACACACGCAAACAAGCACGCACGCACACGCACACAAACACACGATAATGTGGTATTATAAACAAATACATAAATGACTTTCTTTCACACACATACACGCACTCTAATTATATGAAGAGAATATCAACTACAAAGTTTCACACTTGGGTGGAAGTAAGATACTTATTAGATAGATAACCGCCGACAACCATCCAACCAACCGGTAATTGAGTAACTGTCTGATTGTGAATGTGAGTTAACAACGCAGAAAAACCTGATGCACATCTGTGCAACAGAGCACCCAAAGGTGGAGAAAAAAGAGATTCAAAAAAGAACAATAACGGGCAGAATAATGAAGATTTAGAGGATTTGAGAGATTGTAACAACATCTCAGCGATGGTCTCAAAGTCACTGTAGTTCTTAGAATCCCAGACAGACAGTCTATATACTTGCCTTTCTGTGGATGACTCAAACCGGTAGTCAAAGACTTCGTGGAATGACATTAACATTTCTCGACGAGGAAGTAGGTGTCACGTGACCATGCTATCACAATCAATGTAGCTTGATAATGTACATTCATAGACTTGCCCGTGGATGATTTATGTCGAATGTTCCAGTAGTTCTCTCACTGATGTCAGCTCATGATGAAATCCTCCATGCAATCAAACAAAATCCCTACAAAACCAATAATTGAAAGTCAATGTGATGCTCACTAGTGACTGGCCCTATTCAGTAAGTTAACCTGGGGCTCTAGTGGGAAGTCGCGACCAGTAGGGTACAGCAGGTTGAAGATGAGACAGTAACTCAGCGCAACCATTTCGCAATATCTTCTTCGATATGTCGTGAATTGACAGACGTTAGAATTCAAGGACCATGGGATCGGGTCGCAGTGGCTCAATGGTCTATGAGCTCGCCTTGTAAACAGAAGGTCCTGGGTTCGAACCCCGGTGGGTGTGTACTGCTGAAGAGTCCCAAACTAGAACGAAACAGCTGTCCAGTACTGTCTACAGGTTTTCCAATGGTTCTCTAACCAATGTCAGCTCATGATGAAATCCTCCTTGCAATTATGTCGAATGTCACACAAACTTGAAGACTTACAGGTAAAAACCAACCGACAAACTGGTAGAAGAGGCTGGCAGTGAAGACAGGACTTCAAGTGAATATAGAGAAGACGGAAGTGATGCAGATAACCAACCAACCTACCTACCTACAACAGGAGAAATTTGAAAGACGTCACTTTCTTGACTTATCGTTTCAACTAAAGGCTGCCGGAAAGCATGAGGATGTCAAA